ACAGGTGCTGAGCCTGTTTTTTTTTTTTTTTGGATAGAGTCTTGTTATGTTGCCCTCAGTAGAGTGCTATGCCATCATAGCTCATAGCAACCTCAAACTCTTGGGCTCAAGTGATTCTCTGGTCTTAGCTCCCAAGTAGCTGGGACTACAGGTCCCTGCCACAACGCCCAGCTATTTTTGGAGATAGGTCTTGCTCTTGCTCAGGTTGGTCTCAAACTCCTGAGTTCAAGCAGTCTGCCCCTCTTGGCCTCCCAAAGTGCCAGGATTACAGGGGTAAGCCACTGTACCTAGCCTATTTTTGCTCCTGCTTTCATAAAACAAGCGGGACAGCAGTTCAGCAATATCTGTGTGATAACACTGGGAACTGACTCATTTTTTTCTTCCCTTTCAGACCAGTACTACTTTCTCCTTGTCAGGTTAACTGGTCTCTAATTTCCAGCCTTCTCATATTTTCTTTTGCCTTATTTTTTCTTTCTGGGTGTGATATAATTTGATGAAATGTTGATAGCTGGGGCTGTCAATCTACGGCCTGTCAAAAGGAATAAGTGTATAGGCAGAATCCACAAGAGAAAGGATGGCTGTGCAGTGGCTAAAATACTGTGTTTGGAGAAAGTAGAAAGGGGGCAAGGACGGAACCTGGAAGAAAGTGAAGGGAACCAACAAGAGGGAGGCCTGAAATGAATGGTAGAAATTCGGGGAGGAGAAAGCTCACTTGCAGTTTTCTGCCACAGAATAGGCCATTTGCCCACATTTCCTACTGAATGCCCCTGGTGGCCTGTTCTGCTCTTTCCCCATCCCCACCTTGGGTGCAGCCTGGAGATGCCCAAAGATGAGCTGCCAAACCACAATTGCATTAAGCACCTGCGCTCAGTGGTACAGCAGCAGCAGACACGCATCGCAGAGCTGGAGAAGACGTCAGCAGAACACAAACACCAGCTGGCAGAGCAGGTAGGTCTAGAGAACTTGGAGGAGAACACAGCCTTCACACGAACATGACTGAGTGTTTGTGGGCAACACACAGCCCTTGTGTGAGCCTCTGCTCATGGCTTAGTAGGGAATCAGATTGGAGCTCTCCTTGCTTCCCTTCATCCCATTCATTCACCTAACATTTATCAAATGCCTTCTCCTAAGCATGAGGAGATAGCTGTGAATGAAACAGTCCTATCCTTATCTTCCTGAAGCTTATAGTCTTGTTGATTTTCAGATCTCTCAATTGCCCTCATTCTCACATAAGCTTTTGTCTTTTATTTGTTGTCTGCCTTAATCATCATCCCTGGTTCTCCTTGTCTCCAACAGAAGCGAGACATCCAGCTGCTAAAGGCATACATGCGCGCAATCCGCAGTGTCAATCCCAACCTTCAGAACCTGGAGGAGACAATTGAATACAATGAGATTCTAGAGTGAGTGCCACTAGGGACGTGTAACGAGTGGCTCCATGTTCTGGTAACAAGGCCTGAGAGGAGGAAGAGCAGGGGAGTGCCAGGAGGAGGGCAGTAGGAGAACCAGCCTGGGGTCATTGCTCCTCAGATGTTGGGTTAGAGGACAGGGGCAAATCATCTCTTAGGCATTTGGGTGGATGGAAGGGAAAGCCTGCCCAGGGATGCAGTTTATCCAGAATTAGGTGAGTACTCACCAGGTGGAGTGCTAGGAGGGCCAAAAGGAAATATCATCCCTATCTTCAGGTAGCTTACAACCCAGAGAAGAGGCAGGTGCAAGGCCAGGAAAGTGATCTCCAAGCGCAGCAACAGCAAGTGAAGTGAACAAGCAAAGTCTAAGGTCCCTTTTAGTTTTGGAGTCCTATACGGTTCATAGGCTAAACTGTAAGTGTGAATCAACACGTATAGGGCAAATAGTGGGAATGGTATAGAGGAACAGTTGCTTCATTCAATAAACATTTGTTAATCACTATGTGCCAGGAACCATGTGTGCTAAGTATTGGGATTTCAGAGAAAAAAAAACAGGGACAGGATGTAGATTTGTGGAATTTAATCTGGTGAGTAACATGTGGTTACTTAGTTGGGACCAACTAGGAAAAGATTAGGGGTTTCACAGCTACTGATGGAAGGAAAGAGGGAAGAATAGTTAAGCAGAGTGCAGAGTGGGTGGTCATTCATTAGGAGAAAAAGGCAATGCAGAGAAAAATGAGCTGAATAACTACCTCCAACCCCCTCCACACAGGTGGGTGAACTCCCTTCAGCCAGCAAGAGTGACCCGCTGGGGAGGGATGATCTCAACCCCAGATGCTGTGCTCCAGGCTGTAATCAAGCGCTCCCTGGTGGAGAGTGGCTGCCCTGCCTCTATTGTCAACGAGCTGATTGAAAATGCCCATGAGCGTAGCTGGCCCCAGGGTCTGGCCACACTAGAGACAAGACAGATGAATCGGCGCTACTATGAGAACTACGTGGCCAAGCGCATCCCTGGCAAGCAGGCTGTGGTCGTGATGGCCTGTGAAAACCAACATATGGGCGATGACATGGTGCAAGAACCGGGGCTCGTCATGATATTTGCTCATGGTGTGGAGGAGATATAGAACTCAACCGGCTATCAGGAAGAGATGGAAACAAGAAAATCCCATTGCTCCAGCAACTGGATCCTGAATCCTCCCCACTATCCTTAATACTGTGGCTTATGTTTGAGCCATACATCTCCTGCTCTTCTGGCACTGAAGGGCCCTGGGGTACTTTGCTCAGCCTTTCAGATGGGAAACCTAGATTTCCTCCTTTTGCCATATTTCTTCCCCTAAAATGTCTGTAAATTCCCGGTCTGAGTGGGGAAATCTCCACCTGTATCCATTGTTCTGCCTAGGGTCCTGGTTCTGGATATTTTCAGAAAGAACAAAAAGAGATTGGTTTTCCCTAGCAGATCAGGTTGGAGTGAGGAATTTAATCAGTCCCTCTCCTCCAAAACCAGGGATCAGAGTAGGCAGGCCTGTGGACTCCAAGCAACATGTAGAGGGCAGCTCTGGGGAGCAGACATCCTTAGGAAAGATAAGGGTAGAGCCAACACTCTACAAATAGTGAGGCCTGTGACTAGCCATCTCTGACAGCCCTTAGGAGGAGACTACTGGACCTCTGTGCCAAGTAATATCCCTGTTCAGCCCACCTTAAAAGTGCGGGCTCCCACCGTGCTTTTGGGTCTGCAGGTTGGGATGCTGAAAATTTCCAGATTTCTTCTCTCTTACACTTTTCATAATTAGGGAATGGCAGGGTTGGGATTAGGGGTTAATCTCTTTGGGTTTCTGTGTTCAGCAAGAAGCTGCTGTCTGGCTTTTGCTGAAATGGCATAGGTCCTGCCTCTTGTGGCACAGGCCATCATAGTTCCACAAACCCCTCTCCAGCCCTGTGAGTGTAGTCGGTTATTTTGATAATTTTGCCATTATTATATTTCACAAGCCCCACCCTCTCTCCACTTTTTTTTTTTAGAATGGCCTGGTTATGGCTACCCCACTTTCTAGCCCAGCCACATTGTTGGCTATTTAATTTATTACTTTTTTTTTTAAGAAAGGGAAAAAAGAAAAAAAATCAACAAAACTGAAAACTTTTCTTTTGCTATTCCTATTGTGGGGGTTCTGGATAGGTTGGGATAGGGATGGGGTCTATTTTATAATTTTCCTTTTTGGCACAACCTTTGGCTTTAATATAGGAAGAGCCAAGGGAGTCCTTGGCTGAACTTATCATGATGTCTGTCCTAACCCTCCAAAACCCTGTCTGAAATGAGGAGCTTCCTCTACTCCCTTGATGAATGTGACAGTTGTTATGAATATGAATGCTTGTGCCCTCTGGAAAGTTTATTCCTAGCCTTCCAGGGTCTCATCATAAAACGCTGGAGTATTCATTTTTAAGGCAGTCAGTACCCACCCCTCCAAGTTACCTTGGAGCTATACAGCCAGGTTTACCAGGCAAATGAGATAGAAATTATATTTCTGTATCTCTAAGTACAGACTGTGTTAGGCCTCATCCATACCCACCCAAGGACTTCAGCTCTATTCCAGGCTACCTGGGGCATCCCTTGATTCCTAGGGTGATTAGCAAAGTGAGAAGGGGAGGGACAGTAGGTATGATTATTTTAATATGCACGTGAGATTAGGGTTGGAGAAAGAAAGTCTCCTCTCCTTTTTGGAATTTTCCAGGCCAGCTTGCTGTAGGCCTGGGTAGTTGGGTCATGGCTCCACTGAAATTGGGGTGGAGGGATACAGTTTGAGGGGAGTAGGGAACAATCATATGTCCCAGCTCCACGACACTGTGCTCAGGAATTTGAAAACGCTGCTATACTTAGTCTGGTCACTACATTTCCTCCACTCCCCTGCTCCTGCCTGCCTTACCAAGGCCCGTACTTTCCTGTCCTTACCCTCAGATGGAGCCAGGAAGCTCAGCTAAGGCTTCCCTCACACTAGTCTCTGCAGGTGCTGGTTATACTGTACGTGCTGTTCCATGGTGTTGACTGTACTAATAAACCTTTCACCCAACTCTTAAATTCTTTTTTTTTCTTTTTGGAGATAAGAGTCTCAAGCTGTTGCCCTGGGTAGAGTGCTATAGTGTTACAGCTCACAGCAACCTCAAACTCTTGTGCTTAAGTGATTCTCTTGCCTCAGCCTGCCAAGTAGTTGGGACTACAGGCACCTGCCACAATGCCCAGCTATTTTTTTGTTGTAGATGTTATTGTTGTTTTAGCTGGCCCAGGCCAGGTTTGAACCCACCAGCCTTGGTGTATGTGGCCGAGGCCCTACCCACTGAGCTACAGGCACCTCCCCAACTCAGCATTGATCCCCTTCTTTTGAAGGTCTTCTCTATGCCCTTACCTTCTCTCACCTCAATTCCCCTTTCTTCTTCCTTGCTTTGTTAACCTACCCTTATCTCAGCGCTAACTTCTGTTTCTAGAGGATTCTGTCTAGGAAGTGTGTACCTCACATCTGCCTTACCCTGTGTGCCTTTCTGCATCCTCCCCTCCGGTCTCCTGTTCCCTTACAGCCAGAGCTCTCTCCAGTCATCTGAACTGTGTTCCTCCCAGGGTCTGCCTTCTTCCTAAACTCCATGTCTCCTCTTAAGTGCTCCTGGGACTGGGGTGATACTTTCTATAGAAGATATGCATGTACTTTCCCTTGTCCTAGGCAACTTTGCTTTGGAGTCTGGAATTCCACTGCAGAAAGACAGACAGGGAAGCCTCCACCCTTCCCTGCTCATTTCCTAATCAAGAAAGTCAGTGTGAAAAAGGGGACCTGAAACAACTGTACCTGCTAGAAATGTCACATCTTGATAAACCACCACCCCCTCTTTTTTTTTTGAGACAGAGCCTCAAGCTGTTGCCCTCGGTAGAATGCCATGACACCACAGCTCACAGCAACCTCCAACTCCTGGGCTCAAGTGAGTCTCCTGCCTCCACTTCCTAAGTAGCTGGGACTACAGGTGCCTGCCACAACGCCTGGCTATTTTTTGGTTGCAGTCGTCATTGTTGTTTGGCAGGCCCAGGCTGGATTTGAACCTGCCAGCTCAGGTCTATGCGGCTGGCACCTTAGCTACTTGAGCCACTGGCCCCAAGTCCCCCCAACCCTTCTTTTTTTTTGAAAGAGAGTCTCATTATGTCGCCCTTGGTAGAGTGTCATGGCGTCACAGCTCACAGCAACCTTTAACTCTTGGGCTGAAGTGATTCTCTTGCCTCAGCCTCCCAAGTAGCTGGGACTACAGGTGCCCACCACAATGCCTGGCTATTTTTTGGTTGCAGTTGTCATTGTTTAGCTGGCCTGGGCCAGGTTCGAATCCACCACTCTCGATGTATGTGGCTGACTCTGTAACTGCTGTGCTATGGGCACCAAGCTGATAAAACCCTTTTGTAAACATTTGCTTTCCCTTTTTTCTGTCATAAGGAAAAGGAAATATTCCCCACAGGAGTATATTTTAATTTTTTTGAGCATTTATTATTCACCTAATGTAAATCTAATAGTATTCTAGATACTGTGGGTGCTAGGGATCTTATGGCCTTCTGATTTCAAGATTGTTCTTTTTAAGCACCAAAGGAAGCAAAAAAAAAAGCTTCATTTGTTTCTGCTGCACCCCTTAATAAAAGGATTTGTTCTATAAAATTAAGATTCAGTCAAAGGCTGCATTTAGGAACCCAGAAGGCCACATTTTACCTTAAAGGCATGAGCTCCCCATGCCTGCAGGGCTTAGAGGAAAAATAGCATTCATGCATTCACTGAATCTATGCTTTCATACATACAAGTTAAGATTATAAAGTACTGACGAACATATCACAATACAGAGCACAAGAGGCAATATATGTACCCTAGAGATACCAGTAATACTTTTTTTTTCTTTCTTGAAACTCCATCAAACTTACTTTTAAAACCTGCTACTCAGGGCAGCGGCTGTGGCTCAGTGAGTAGGGCCTCAGACCCATATACCAAGGGTGGCAGGTTTGAACCCAGCCCTGACCAAACTGCAACAAAAAATACCCTGGCATTGTGGCAGGCGCCTGTAGTCCCAGCTACTCGGGAGGCTGAGGCAAGAGAATGGCCTAAACCCAGGAGTTGGAGATTGCTGTGAGCTGTGACTCCACAGCACTCTACTGAGGGCAATAAAGTGAGTCTCTGTCTCTAAAAAAAACACAAACAAAAACAAACCTGCTACTCATTATTTTGTATATTATGAATGATACCATATGTTCTTTAGGGTAGATCTGGTTTTTGAAAACAAATATTCATTGAATGCCCATACTGTGAGATACTAGAATGGGGATGGGGAGGTTCAGGTAACAAAATGGCATTTACTTTCAAAGAACTTACTCACTGATGGGGATGAGTATATAATAAGGCACAATAGATGTGCTAAGAGGATATACTGCTAATATGTGAGCAGAGGAATATAAAGTCACTGATTCTGATGGGTATCAGGAAAGGCTTTTTAGAAGTGTTACTTATTGGCCAGGTGTGGTGGCTCATGCCTGTAACCCCAGCACCCTGTGAGGCCAAGGCAGGTGGATTGCCTGAGCTCGCAGGTTCAAGACCAGCCTTTGCCAGAGCAAGACTTTATCTCTGAAAAAGAGCCGTTGTGGCAGGTGCCTATAGTCCCAGCTACTTAGGAGGCTGAGGCAAAAGAA